ATGCATATGTTTTACTACCAGCAGCTATCACTAAGTGTGGAACACAAATAAAGACTGGTTATCTTTCAGAGAGAGTTTGTTTTGATTAAATATCAATTAACACATACAAAAGGCTTGGTGGGAAGGGAGTTAGCAATGCAAGGCAGTGGATGCTCTCATAGCTGTGCTTAAGTCCAGCTCTCATTTTGGAAGCTGTCCAAAGAAGTGGAGTGAACAGGATACTGAGATGTTTCAAAAAGTTGGAAGGAATGTGTGGGAGGAGTTTGGGAAGGGCGTGGAAAACAGTTCGGTATTGGCCGGGGGGGGGGAGGGGGACAAGCATGCATCTGTTCTAACTGAAGTGCGATGAGGAACTTCAGCATCTCTGTTTGCTCCTCCATGACTTTTATCATCTGCTCATGGGCCTTTTGAATGCGCTCCACACGGTCCTTTCTATCCCATCTTTCCATTTTTCTCCCTCCATTCTTTTTCTGCCTCAGACAATTGGAGCACCTCACAGAACATGTTCTCCTTGCTCCACCTTAGTCACTTCCTTATCTGATGAAGGTGCTCCGCCAGTGTGTAGGTGGTTCCCCTGAATGCCACATCTGCAGAAGCACAAGAAACAATAATATAGAGAAGCATGATTGTTAGTGCATGCACAGCACTGCATCATGACATTAAAATACACCTCTTTTCACATATGAATTGTTTCTCACTGTTCCCTGGCAAGCAACAGCTCGGTGGATACACTAAACATGGTGAGTTTGGCCCAGGGGGCAGGTGGTTGGGCGTTCAAGATGGGGCAAAGGGTCTACTTTTTTTTAAAAAAAAAAACGGGATCACTGGAGGCAAGTAGGGACAATATTGTAAATTCTGCCACCATTTTCCACAGGTGGGGATCACTGAAGCAGATATCTCACTCCTGGCGGTAAGAAAGAATGCAAGGGTGCATCTACTTCACGCATTCAGCTTCAGACCTGGATCCTATGCTGCTTGCCTGTGTGCCGCTTTGGTCCCTGCGCCAGTGATTGTCGATTGGCCCAGGAAAGTTTCTTACAACAGAGGAAGGAACAGAGCAGCTCTGCCAAGGAACCTTCGACAGAGGATTGGCGAGGACTTCCAGGAAAGTGTCCTAGCGATCTCTCTGGAGGATTCCTATGAAATCTTGGTGTGCATCAACACACTGTACCATCACACTGCTTAGCTGCACAGGGGAATGTGAAGCATGCTCAAAACACAGCTAGTCTTGTACATTTCTATCCCTTCACCCACTTCTACCGGATACAGAAAAAAGGACACCTATATGTCAAATAACCGAGCGGCATCAGCTCAAAAAGATCACTTACCAGGTGTCTGCTCTCCAGCATCTGGCTCGCCAGAGATGGACTGCTGAGACTGGCTAGACACCTCCTGTGAGGAGAAGAGTTCCCGATTCGCAGCACCACCGGACGACTCTGCCGTGGGCTCCACATCATCCTCCAAGTCCACCTCTAGGGTCCATGACTTTGTCCTCAGGGTTAGGTCCACTGTCCACCGCCTCTAGCCCCATCCAAGTATCCACAGGGCTCTTGGCAGTGCAGATAGGGTCCCCGCGAGGATGGCGTCCAGCTCTTTATAGAAGCAGCAGGTCTTCAGCACAACACTTGAGCAACCGTTTGCCTTCCTCGCCTTATGGTACACTTGTCTCAGCACCTTTATCTTCGCTTGGAACTGCACAGTGTCCTGATCGTAGCAGCCCTTATCGCACAAACCATATGAAATCTGCCCATAGAAATCTGTCAAAATTCCTTCAGCTGGAGCAGAGCTGGGACTGGACAGCCTCCTCTCCCCATATACTCAGCAGATCCAAATGCTCCACTGTGGTCCAAGTGGGAGACTACTTGCCCAGTGGAGCCGCCATAGTCAGCGGAGAGAATGTGATGTGAGCTCTCCATGCTGAGCAAACAGGAAGTAGAATTTCAAAAATGGCCTTTAAAGATGGAGGGGATGATGCTTGTTTACCTAGGTGCAGGACAGCGGAGTTCGAACTGCTGACCTGAACGGTCAGGATGGTCACTGTGGGACCTCCCGGAGGCCAATTACAGTGACAAAACGAAGCGCTGTGTCTACGCTGACATTTTGTCAATAAAAACTTTGCCGCAAAAAGCTCCATGCCTCTCATCGAGATGGTTTTATTTTGTTGCCAAAACAGGTGAATTTGGTCAGCAAAAGTGGCATTGTAGTATGTACACCTCTCCTATTTTGTCGATAAAAACTGCCTTTTGCCAACAAAAATCTGTAGCGTAAACAAGGTCTTACTTTCATATCCAACACTAGCATTTTTCTGAATGTTTTTTGACAATATCCAGTATTTAAAGACAATACAACATTGTTATCAAACAGCTTTGCTGTCCAGTGACTGTCATGCAGTTCCTTTCGGTTCTTGGTACTGCAGAGCTGTATTTGCATACTTTAATTGTTAAATGCAAGCCTGCAAACTGAACAGTCACCTAACCCTTGTCTCTATTATCCCCATTTATAAGAGCTAAGGTTTCCTGTCTCACAAAGGCATTCTGAGGATTAGTTAATGTTTGTAAGGCACTTTAAGAGTAAAGGTAATTTTATTAACGTTGAGTCAGTCGAATATGGGTGGATCAGCTCAGATATCTGATCACAATATCTTGAGAGATATAAAAGTATCTTATCATTCTGCAAATAAAATTTAAAAAAAGAATAAATAGAGCTCTTTGTGCATTCCCAGTTAATAAGCAACCAGGTAGGGTTTATACAAGCAATGCATTACAGTGACAATAAAATCCATCAGTAATAAATTACAAAATTTTCTTAAAGGTCTTAGGTGAGAACTGATTCACAGTCAGTAACTTTTTGCAGTTGTATGTTTATATGGTGATATGCATTTAGCTATCTACAATGGCCACAGGATACAATCTGATGGCATTGGGGGGTAAAATGCTCCACATGTTTTTGAATATTTAATTGCAATGCCCACTGCCAACTAGATATATACTCTTGTACATACTCCTGAATATCAGCAATTATTATTGACAAGAATTACTTACCTTTGGAAAACTATCAGACTGTTATAACAATGCAATAAGATCATACAGCTGGTAGATAATTCTGAATTTAACTAATATAAATCATGTAACAATATGTAGAAAGAATCCAGTGTCTTGGGAATATGTAAACAAACTTACCACTTTGCATTCTAGACTGTACAGAGGATCAATACAGTTGCTCCCCCTTAATACACTCTCTGGTATAAAACTGCCAGGCTCAACTTATGTTAAATTTGCAATTTGTATTTATAGTTGTAGAGGGAGGAGGTGGGAAATCTCATTTGCTTCCTTTAAATTCAAGGCCTCACAGTGAAAAAGACTGTCAGAAATAAAAACCTGTCTCAGCTCTGACCATTCATGGGCCTCTGACACTTCTTTTCATTATTGTGTCCCCACATAGTACAGTCAACATATATCCTCCTTAAAAACAAACTAAGACTACTCTTAATGTGGGTGGACCCTACATCCATTGCCCTAATTAATTAGCAGGAATTCCTTGGGTATCAGATACAAATGAGGAGAGGATTTAAAGTGGCAAAAAGTATTCCACATGGTACAACTACTCAATTTAAATATTATGGGTTTGATTCTAATTTACACTAAACTATCTTCAAGTGAGTGTAAGTCACATTTATAGCCACTTTAAAACCCCTTTAACAACACCACAGTGATGTCAAGGGGCCTTAGCGTAAATAAGAATCCAAGCCTGTATCTTTGCACAATAGATACTTGATAAACGCCTTATATTTTGACAATTTTGAACAAAATTAAAAGTAGAGAAAACATTTGTCTCTTGCTAAGTCAGGCTACAGAGCTGTAACTCACGAAAGCTTATGCTCAAATAAATTTGTTAGTCTCTAAGGTGCCACAAGTACTCCTTTTCTTTTCGCAAATACAGACTAACACGGCTGCTACTCTGAAACCAGGCTAAAGTTGTGTTAGTTTAGAGATACTATTAAGTAGTTGTGTTTTGAGGGGATCCGAGTGCCACATCACAATTCAAACATTGTTCTGCTAATGTCCTGTTTTGGTTTGGTTTATTAAAAAGTGTTCATGTGGTCAAATAGTAAAAGATGCCCAGCTTTCCTTTTTAATCCTGGCTTAAGACAAGATAAACATATTTATGGCACTAAAAATCTGGCACCAGGTGCTTTTTTTAAAAAGGTGTTTACGTGCCTAAATAACTGTAAAAATCTGGTCTTTAAAGCTTGGTCTTGCACCCCTAAACTCACAAAGTTTTGCCACTGCTTCTGTAGGAACAGAACTGGACCCTTTGTCTCTCTCACCGCACTGCTCTCGTACCATTTTCTTCCCAGAAGAACCTGGATTTCCTTCTTTTGTATTTTTCCCAACAGTATCGGTCTAACAACTTACACTTCACTCCCCCCCCCGCCCCAAAAGTCATATGAAGGCCAGTTCAAACTCCCATTTTTAAGACACCAATCTTGCAAAAAAACTTAAGCATATGCAGAACTTTACACAAACAAGTAGTCCCACTGAAACCAATGGGGACCATTCATACGTTTAAGACTTTGCAGGATCAAACCCTAAGATGGTAAACTATTCAGGACAAGGACCTTGCCTTTGCAGGCACTTGTATGGTGCCTAACACAATGGGGCCCTGATCTTGATTTCGGCTTCTGTTACAAATATTAAATAATAAAATCTTGCAAGTACCTCAACTGCCCATCACCTAGAGCCTATGTGTTGCAAAACTGTTCTAACCCTTATACCTCCAGGCACAATTTTGCTGCCACCAACTTCAGAGCTCACCCATACCTCAGTTTTGAACACAGTATAACTTTTATGTGAAATGTCAATTTTCTTTTCTTAAATTTGCAAAGATGTTGAAATTCCCATCAATGTTAATCTTATTTCTGTGGAAGGGATGAAACAAACACATTCTGATTGTTACTGATTGCGTGCTGGTAAATGCCAGCCTACACCCAATGCACTTACTTTTTTTGTTCTTTCCGGTTTATTTGCTCCTTGTTCAGAAAATGAGCCTTCATCAGGTGGCACTGTTAGGCGTAATCTACAGACATTCATCTAGAAAGAAACAAAGGTTTTCTTTCAGTTTTAAGAATGCTAAGAAAGGTCATTTTAACAGACCCCTCTACAAAATAAGATGCACTAGTTTTTGAGTTTTCATCCATGCCACAAACAATGGAAAAAGTTACTTTCTAATGGCTGGGTTCTTTAGCTGGCAAGAACTAATTCAAGGAGAACATTACATACCTGAAATAATAACATGCTGTTGACTGAAATGGGGTTTTGCTATGTTCACCCAAATGACATTGGGGATTGAAATACACTAACACTGAAAATAGTTTTCTTCAGTTTCTCTGCCTTGGATTGAAATTTGGCACATCTTTGATCTTTAAAATGGGAGATTCAGTATCTGAAAACACAAAATGCTTTCTAGAACAGACCCTGTTTTTATGTCGAGGACATACCAATAGCTTGATCCTGGAAACACTCATGAGTTTAGTTCCACTGAATTCAATGAGATTAATCACATCGGTAAATTATGCACATGGCCAAAAGTTCATAAACTCTTTCATAAAAAAGTGTAATCAAGGTCCCTCTTCCTATGTGATCTTGGAAAAGCCACTTCCTCGTTGGTGAAATGGGGTTAATAATACTATTTTCCCATCACATTGTTTCCCTTTGTTGTCTGTTTAGATTGTAAGCTCTTTGAGGCAGGGACTGTCTTTTATTACAAGTTTGTTCAGTGCCTAGCATGACAGGGTCCCAGTCTTGGCTGGAGCCTTTAGGTGCTACAATAAAAAGCAATAATGATTTCTAAGCAATAGATACCAACTATTGAAATACAAAACGCATTCTGTCCAAACAAAAATCCCAGACTCTCTCTGACATCTCCTTGTGGATGTCTAGCTCTCAAATTCCCCTCCCCACAAAAATCCCTCCCTCCCGCTTTCTCAGCCACTATGGACACCATTACCGTCCTACCTGTCACGCAGGCCCATAATATGGGTATCATCTTGGATTCTGACCTCCATGTCTAATTCTTCACAATTCTTTGTGCGTAACAGGTCTAAGCTATGGCCTTTCCTATCCATTCACACAGCTAAAATGTTCATCCAGGCCCTCATGCCTCAATTACTACATCCTTTTCTCCAGCATTGAAAAATGCAATCCTGTTTCACTCAGTCACTGAAATTGCTACTGCACAGATCATTTTCTCAGCCTGTTGCTTTGACCAGTTCATCCCTCTATTAACTCCCCTTGCTCTGTCACTTTGAACATAAGCTACTGGTCTTCACTTTCAAGGCCCTTTAGATCCATTTATATCAGTGATACTCAGACCTCAGTGGTTCAGGAGCCAAATTAGTGATCAACATTACCCAAAAGACACCATCACATGAATTCTTTGTTTCATTTACTATAGTGCTATATATTCATATTTCAACAGTATGACGGGAAATATTTAGTTTTTACTCAGCAAAATAACTCACCACGTATTATTTTATCAACTACAGTTGTTTAACAACATAGTAAAAACATCCAGATTGGTTAATAATTAAATCACAGTGTTTTAATATCATGTGCTGCAAAGAGCTGCAGGAGACACATTAAAGAGCCACTTGTGGCTCACAAGCGAGACTCAGTCTGACTATCACTGATTTAGATCTTTAGATCCATTTGCAAAATAATTTTAAACACAAAAAGAGCTCAGTGCCATTAATCAGCATTCATTATCAAACCTACAACAACAAGCCAAAGTGCATGTGATGAAGGAAGTTAAATTTGGTAACGAAACATTTTAATTTCCAGTTTCCAGAGGAATAAACAATGTGATTTATTTTTAAACGATGAATACAACCTTGACTGTGTCCACGTACACTGGCTTTTGACACTGATTAGGTGGTATCTGTAACTGTCATTAAAGAGAATTCCAGATTCTTCCTTTCAGCCATTATAACAGAGAACTTTAAGGCACTTCCTGTTTATAAGTTAATAACCGTACCCTACACTACTAAACTCCTTGACTTTGGAGTTTATTGGCACAAAATATGACTATCAGGAAGCCCATATACACCTCTTATCACCCCCTTTCCCCCACCCATCCCCTTAATTTTTACTTTCCACTGTTCTTTCCTCCCATCAACTTAGCAAGGCTCTTCTCCCTAATACATATTCATTTACAGGCATGAACCAGAAGGGAGAGGTGGGCAGTCTTCCAATATAAGCAAACAAAGACAAACATTTATGAGTGTTCTTGTGGAGACAAGCACCTTCCTGACCCCTAGGATGGCAAGGGAACACAAGGGAATTTAGGGGGTTGCAAGGGAAGGTGATGAAAGAAAGAAGGCCAAATCTTGCTCCCAGTGATTTCAGACCAGACAGAATTGAATACAGTCTCCCTTTCAGTGATTTGACAACCTCTATTTCTTTGATTTTAGGTATTTTTCTTGTTCACAGACAAGAGAACGATAAACAGAAGCCTACACCATCTTTGAAGCAAGCAAAGTGCATGGCATTCAACAAAGGAGCCAGTCAGCAGTTGATTTAAATATTCACAGTAAAATTATTTGTCAGTAATCATACTGAAATTATACAAGTCCCCATACGCTGACTGGTGAATAGTGACTGTCTGCCAGAGTACAGGGAATGAGATTCACATGCTATTTGGTTACTGCACCCAAACAATAATTATGCAGACCCACAATCAGAGTGCAGGAAACTGAATAACTGGGAAGAGTAATAAATTAGGGTTAGCAATTGCACAGCATCCCCAGCTCTTTGACTGGTTCTTTCATTGGTTCTTTGGTTGGCTGAGACCACGGATATTTATATTTTTCCTTTCTCCTCTTTCTTTTTCTTTAAGTTTAAAAAAAATTCAAGGTAGCACCCTTTTCATACTTCATTCTCTATTATCCCCCCAAAACATTACTGTATTTATATTACCATAACGCCTAGGAGCCCTTCTTTTCTCTGCCCTTTATTTCCCCATCCCCTCAGGCGCATAGCAGTACGCATATGCACACACACTCCAGAAGATCATATTTTCATCAGTATTTCTGCTCTGAGTACTTCAAGCAGCAAAGTGAAACAAAAACTTTACTGTTTCACATTTCAGCTTGCAATGCTCACAGAATACTAAAGGCCAGACTGTTGTAGAGTTCATCAGTTGACAAGACTGGGATCCCCCATCAAATTCTACAGACCCTTTTGGAGACATAGATGAAGAAACTGCACATCATCACCCCGCAGAAATGGAATTTTACCAAACAGGACTGTACCCATACTTTCACAATCACCATACATCCCCAATTAAATCAGAACCCATGCACCAATCCCAACATCTCTGCAAATGCCACAGAAAACAATCACACATTTTCAAACAGAACCAGTCACTAGCCTTTTGGACGAACACCAGCCTGACGGTTTGTCTCAAGGGGCACATGAAAGAAGTAGCTGCATGACGCCATAAAACAGATTGGGCATATACTCACACAACCTCACTTGGGATTCCAGAATCTCTGATGCCACAAAGCATTGAACCAACTCTCCCATTCAATTTTAATAGAAAATGTAATTGAAAGATTTTTTTTCCCCCCACACAAGTTACATACACATGTGGCCAGATCCTCAGCTGATGTTGCCTCTTGGGGAAGTAGCGTTTTGCATTGTTTGTTCACAAATTTATTGGTCAAATCAAGGAACAATTGTAATGAGCTCCAGAGGGAATCAACCCCAGCACTCTCTAGCTGTGGGGATGGTTGCAGAAATTCCTCAGAAAAAGACGGGGTACCTCAGATACAGACTAGGGAGAGACTGAACTAAGTGCTGGGTGAAGGGCGGAGAAATATGACTGAGCTGAAAGTGAAGAAGAAATGGACTGAAACACTGGGGTTATGTGGAAAGACCCTTTCAGTTGCTATAACAAGTACTGTGTTGCTGTAGAGCTTGTAGCATAGACGCACCGGTACTCTGAGTAGGCAGCCAAGTTATGGACTGGAAGCATTCGCCCATCTACCTCCATGTCATCATAGAATATCAAGGTTGGAAGGGACCTCAGGAGGTCATCTAGTCCAACCCCCTGCTCAAAACAGGACCAATCCCCAATTTTTGCCCCAGATCCCTAAAAGGCCCCCTCAAGGATTGAACTCACAACCCTGGGTTTAGCAGGCTAATGTTCAAATCACTGAGCTATCCCTCACAACAGGTTAGAATGAAATTGACCGTATCATGCTATTACTGAACTCCTGGTAGATGTAGGGGTATAACTTTGGTTTTATAAAGAATCAGAAACAATCTAAAAAAATCCATCACTTGTAAACTTTATAATTTGCAGTGACCACAGTTTTAGCAAACTACTCAACAAAGAAAGTAATCCCAATTTGGCCAATACTATGTGCCCACTGTTTACTCTGCGATAACCACCAACCTATGAGCAATATTCCCAGAGCTACGCTGGATGTCATCTGTGAGACTGATGCACACACAGGGAAGCAAAGACAGGTTCACTACAGCTCTTAACATTAGTTTGCCAAATGGAATGGAAGTTAATAATTGGAGACTTATTATATCATGCAGGATATCACCAAAGATAGTTTGTTGCAATATAGCACTTAAAAAGAAAATACTGACGGTAAGTTTAAAATTTTAGACTATATTAAAAAAAAATAGGGCCCCACTTCCACAATCCTTATTCACACTGAGCAGCATGCTCCTTGAATAAGCAGGGGTCTGCTTTACACAAGTAAGAGTAACAGACTCAAACCCTGAATGATTATTTTGACAAATGTTCTGCAGACTTTTTTTTTCTAAGCAAAATACTAGTGAAATATGTGGAGCCAGAATGCCAGCAATAGGCTTAGAATGACCAAAATGATATTTTTCTAGCAAAGTAATATTTGTCTATTGATAATCTGTCCTTCCTAAGATCTCCATATTGCTCCCACTGGAGTAAGACGCTCAATATTGACCCAACTACTGAAAATGTCAAAATTCCCACTGACTTTAGAGGGTGTGGGATCAAAAAGCCGGAGATGTTATTGGTTATGCCAATAAAGATACAATTGCTTCTGGCACTCAAGTGGTTTGGGGACTGGAATTTTGTCGAGTAATTCCCTGCTGCTTGCCTCCATAGACTTTTTTTGATCTTTGCTCAATGGGTGAAGCTTAAGAACCACTCACTCTGCATAGGGTCCGAAGTTATTCTAAACTTCTGAAGACAAGACAAGAAACAAGTCTTTAGTTTCAGTCAGTGCAGAAAAATTAATCTGGTGATAAGGTACAATTGACAATCTGTGGAAAAAATGTAATTATAGCCACCTTTAGATTCATCTCTAAAACAACATGATTAATGGACACTTTTCCTGTGATTGCAGGTAGATGGAACTATGACATCTTGTGTTGGGTGTAATTTTACTTCATTTGTTATTCCAAGTGTTTTCATTCCTTTTTTGAATAGCCATGTTTGGGAGCTAACATTTCACTACAAAAGAGAGTTTTACTTGCAAATTAATTCCGTTGTTGCCACTAGAAAAAGGGACTACATTCTTACAAATTACCAGAACTACATATTTTTACTTTGTCCTGGAATGTAGGCTAGAGTAGATTAAGTCAAAAAAAAAAAAAAGAAAGAAACTTGTATTCTAAAATATACTCTCAATATTAACCTGTTTAGAAGAAAAATATCAAACATGAAACTTATTATGAATAATGAGGATGGGAATCACTTTATTCTTAAGAATTAGGAAGTAAGGCCACATTATACTATGTAATTCTCCACTAAAATATCTTATTTCCTTATTATTACTATAATAATAAATAATAGCAGTTTCCAAAGCTTTCTAATTTTCCGGTTTAATAACTTCGCTTCTCACCCACCATGAGTCTAAGTTTGTGTACTCCTTATATTTGTGATGAAGAGTGAAGTCAGAGAGTTAACTGGCTCCTAGCATACAAAGGCAGATGACTTTGCTACAGCAACTTCACCAGTCTCACTGGTTACTGTATGCAACAGGTGTCATGATAACATTCCTCACTGGTTTTGTGTTCTCTGATGAACAGGTGGGTGTTGCTGTTAGATGAACAGAGATAACTATTATGTATTCCAAAAGAACAGCTCTGTGTTAGCTTGAAAGCTTGTCTCTCTCATCAACAGAAGTAGGTCCATTAAAAAGATACCAGCTTTGTCTGCACAACTTCTGTTGATCACGGGTGTGAAAAAACACCCCCCCCGACCCGCATAATTTTCACTGTCAAAAGCATCGGGGAGAACAGCGCTATGTCAATGGGAGAGTGTCTACTGCCAATATAGCTACCGCCACTTGTTGGGGTGGTTTAATTATGCCAGCAGGAGAGATTTCTCCCATCAGCATAGAGTGGCTACACAAGAGACTTTACAGCAGCACAGCTGCAGCTGTACAGCTGTGCTGCTGTAAGGTCTGTAGCGTAGACATAGCCATTACCTCACTCACCTTGTCTCTCTAAAAAGATTAGTCACACAACAACACTGGTTTGTAATGACAAGCTTATCACCTGATCCTTGTTGATTTATTGCCACTACAGCAGGTAAAGAATGTGTGTCCTCTCATGATAACAGCATATGTTGTTATAGTACTGAAAAAGCTATTTAAAGTAGGGTGGGTGTAGGAACATTCTTGTCACTATATCTGCCAGAATTTTAACAACATTTAGAAGACTTGCCAAGCAGATGCTTACATCATCATTACCGATCTTATCTTGATTATGAAAGATTCCAAAATATTTAAATATTGTTCTATATAAAAGGCTCATGGGTTTAAAGCAACACCCACTAGCTACAGCATCTAAGGCATTAATTTAAGCATCCTTAATCTGTTGTCATCTGCATGTGAAAGTCCTTGATTCTTTAAATCCAGCTGGATGTTTGTAAACAACTGCACACCTGGAAAAACTGGAGCCACAATATTATGACTAGTAAAAGAAAACCTCATTGTAGAGCCCACAAAATTTGATCCTGTTTTCAGTAGATAATTCGATTGGAACAGAAACAAAGATGAAGCGCAGATTGGGGGGGAAAAAAAGAAGTCTGCCAAAATACATAGAGGGAAAGTTTTTGCTCTAAACTAATTAGTGAAGATTTTTAAAAAAAAACACACACAACCAAAACACTATTTTGCAGTATCCTGCAATATTTTCTTTGAACTGTTCTTCTTTGAAATTGTGCATCTTGATGTCAAGTGTGTTCTCTCTCTAGAGTAGAAACATTAATTCTGAAAAAACATAACATAAAAAACGAAAAGCACAGGTCCAGATCCGCAAAGGGAGTTATACCCCTAAATACCTTTGAGGATCTGGGGCACAGTATTTCTCTTGAGACCAATACGCTTTCTTTTACAGCTCTAGTCTTTGCCATGCAATAAAATATATTTTGGCACATTTTTCTTCTATTCAAAAGAAAAATCATTAGTAAACTACATCTTCCTGTACACATGTATAGCTAGAGGGCAAACACTGCTGGACAAATATATGTTCTGCCCTTTAAAAACAATCCTTATTAAAGTATGTACATTAAACCAAGTCAGACTTCTTTCTGTCATCCGATGAAGTGAGCTGTAGCTCACGAAAGCTTATGCTCAAATAAATTTGTTAGTCTCTAAGGTGCCACAAGTCCTCCTTTTCTTTCTGCTCTGTTCTGTAGCCTTTGTCTAACCCTGCTGGCTACGCGGAGTAGAAATGGGGAACTAGACATTTGCCCTACATTGTAAAAGCTCCTTTAGCGAATGGGGGAGAAGAAAAGACTCATGGATTCTGCTGCGCTCTCCACAGAGCAGAATGCCCGCAGTCTCTCCGCTCCTCCGAGCCAGCGCTGGCCGAGCCTGGTGTTGATAACCGGACCCCGCACACTAGGGCTCACGGTTACCATTGGCGAGTGCGGATTTGGGCAGCCGCTTGTGGCGGGAGGAGGGTGAAACAGCAGAACGTTCCCTAAGCCAAGGCGAGTTTCGGGCACTAGCGCCCACCCCTGCCCGAAAGCCCAGCTCAGACCAGCGGGGAGCAGCCCCCGCACGCAAGCCCCAGGCGGAGCCTGGCCCACACGGTGGCCGCTCAGAGTTAGCCCGCAGGACTCTCTGGGGTCCCGCGCGAGGAGCGGCCCCAGGCCTGGCTTCACCCCTGGCTCGGGGGCAGCAGCACCGCGCGGGAAGCAGCCCGGCGGGACCCAGCGCCCCCCGCGGCCGAGCTGGGCAGGCTGAGAGGCCGCTCCCGGGTGACTCACCCGCTTCTCGCCGGGGTCGCTGCCGCCGGCGGGCGGCCTGGGGACGGTGGTGGTGATGGTGAGCGCGGAGCTGTAGCGCAGCATCCTCCTTCGCCGCCTTCCCCCTCAGTGACTGGCGCCGGGCCCAGCCGCCCCGCTCCGGCCGGGGCCAGCAGGTGCGGCTCCAGCCAACGCCCCGGGGAGGGGCCGCCGCGCCCGCCGGGCGAGCACGGTGCTCCCCGGACTCGTCAGGCAACCCGCGTTTTAACGCTCGCCGGGCGCCTCGTCAGCAACGCAGCGGGGCGGCCCCTGTGTGCCCGGCCTGTTCGCGGGGGGGTGCGCGGGGCATGGGTGTGTACAGCAGGTGTGTGCACTAGGCATGGGTGGGTGAGTGTACAGGAGGTGTGTGCACTGGGTAGTTGTGGGTGTATGTACAGCTCTACAGCAGGCGTGTGCAGCTGGCATTTGTGGGGGGGTGTGTGTGCACACAGCGGATGTGTGCGTCGAGTATTTGTGTGCGGGGGGGTGCATGTAGGGCATTTGTGGATGTGTGCATACACAGCAGGTGTGCACACTGGGTAGTGTGGTTGTGTGCATGCTCGGCAGGTGTGCACACTGGGTATTTGTTGGTGTGTTCACAGCATGGGTGCGCACTGGGTATTGGTCAGTGTGTGCACGCACGGCAGGTGTGCGCACTGGGTATTTGTGGTGGGTGCTTTGTCTGTTAGTTATTACTTGTATTTCAGCAGAATCTAGAAGCTCCACTCATGGACCTAGCATGGATTTATATCCTATTTGTGTACAGTGATTGTTCATAGTGCATAAGTATTTGTATGCATATCGTATGGAAGCATAGTGTACGTATGCAGAGTGAGTGCTTGTGTGTATGAATGCGGATATTGTAAATGCACAGTGTATAAATACATATGCATTGTGTGCCTGTTTGAATATATATAGTGTGCCTATACTTGCATGTATTGTATTTATTTGTGACAGATAGCCAAGCATTCCATCTTTTACACTTAGTATTCTGTCTTTTACACTTAGTAAACAGTATAAGACATAGTTACTTACTTGTAGTGTTGTAGGTGTGTTGGTCCCAGGATCCAGGGGGCAAAGTGGGGGAGGGAAGGTAGGCATGGTAATTTTTTTTTAATTGAACCAACATCTGTTGGTAAAAGAGATGCTTTGGAGCTCCACAGAACTCTTCTCTTGTTTCTTTCACCCATAGAAGTTGACCCATTAAAAAATATTACCTCATCCAGTTTTTGTGTTTCATTAATTATTTATGCAGTCCCATAAAATGATATAGCATTTTACAGACAATAAGATATGGCCCATTCCCCAAAGAGTTTAGATTCTAACAAAGGAGGGGAGGGGAGAGAAAGAGACAATAATAAGGTTTATATACCTATAGTGGGTTGTTGTTAATTACAGGTTCTGGGTTAGTTTGGTCTTTAAAGCTTATTTAGCTTAAAGTCTTCGATACTTGTTTTTCCCGTTTCATTTTACTTCCTTCTTTCTTATTCTCCCTCTCTTTGCTTCTGAGAATAGAACTGAAGCAATTATATAGCCTGGACAAACACAGAAGTTAACTGTCAGTAGTATGGTGCACAGCAAATGAGACAAGGGAACTGCAAAACCCCTGTCTCATTCACCATGTAACTTTGTGTATGTATACACACACAGTTACTTTCTTAGGCTCTGTGTGTCTGCCTTATGCAGTGTAATCATGGTAATAGGACGTCACACCTGAGGGGCAAAAGTTGTAGAAAAATATACCATATTTGAGATGTACGTAATAATATAATTAAGGCTATCATTATTAGCTTTGGTGTTTTCTGATTTCAGGAATGCTAAAGAAGTGGAATTAATCTGAAATGGAAAAAGGAAAACTTTGCAGTGAACTATCAAGTTTTCACCCCTTCTACCTCGAGTGTCCCCCTGCCCACCGTCACCCTTTCCTAGCACAATATAGAGAGCCATCTGCAGAGTTGGGATCCATGTGGACGGAAAGGAGTTGCACAGGCTTTTGATAAGGAGTAGTTAAGGTCTCAGGTTGGCAGTAGTGGGCTAGGGAGGACCCATCCCATCCTCCCCCCATCCTCACACAAATTCCCTGAAAAAGGTACTATAACTTCTGCAGACTCCCTCCAGAATGGGAAGCTCTCTTCAAGGTGATCAGGGGACCTGTGCTGTCAGGGAGGGGACCTCCATACAAATGGCCTTGGGCTCCTGTGGATAAGCAGGTTTGAAGGCCTGACCAATGGCTCTTCCCACACAGGAAGGAAGTAAAACTTCCTTCTCTGACTAATGAGGGGACAACTGCAATGAAATCCTTCCAGTTCGCCTCCCATGGGCGTTTCTGCAGGAAAGGGCAATCCAGCCTTCAATTAACAAAGACAGAGTTTACGATGCTGTGAAGTGTACATGTCTACATGTAGGCATTTTAAAGGGATGGATTCTTCTTCCGCAAAGCAGCACCACCCATATTTCAGGAAAGAAAGGTCAATCGCTGGCAAGGTGTGAAGGAAGTAAGCTGTGGAAGGAGGAGTGATTGTTTGGCAATGCCTTGTCAAATGGAATGATAATGCTGTAGGATTCATGAAGAATCATAAGTTTCCACATCAAGGCATGGACTCACACATGGGTTATGAAGCCAAACAAAATCCCATTTTTTATTGCTACACAAAGGGCTAGTCTACACTAGACTTGCTGCAGCTGTACCGATATAGCTGCTCCACTGAAGCACGACTAGAGCAGACGCTCTATGCCGATGAGAGACAGTTTTCCCATCAGCATAATTACTCCACCTCTCCCAGTGGCGGTAGCCATGTCAATGGGGAGCTTCTCCCACTGTCCACACCAGCGCTTAGGTCTGTGTTACTTACGTCACTTTTCCACACCCTGAGTGACTTAAGTTATACTGAAGTAAGTGCCAGTATGTACAAGCCCAAAGAGTGAAGTGTTATACTTAAGCTTCTGAAGAGGATTCACTTGCCAGTGAGATTAAAGGATATGCAGCCTTCATTGTCCCTTACCCATGAATTCCATTTACAGCAAAGACTATCACATGAACAGAATCATGGAAGGTATTTAGGAACCCAATTCAACAAGATATTTAAGCATGTAAGAAGCCCCACTGACTTCAAATGTAATAGTGGAAAGCATTCTGTATATGTATTTCAGTTTGCTGGGTTCTCACTACCCCTTCTCTACCTTATTGAAGTTATTTTCAGTTACTGTAGGGTTCAATCTAAAAAGGAACCCCTGGGGTTAATTGCTATTTATATGATAAATTTCATATTTATATGAAAATATTAATGAGAATATGGAATTGTGTAGCAGGATTGCATTGATTTCTCATTATCTACTGTACTTCTAATAATTACACAGCACCTTTAAACTTACACAGCACCTTTCTGCTGAGGTTCTTGGAGTGCTTTATAAGCATTAATAAAGGCTCAGAACATTCCTGATAGATAGGTGAAGAATAATAACACAATGATATTTCTTGAGTGATTTCTTGAGTGAGTGATTTCTTGTGTAAGAGGTAGGAACCACAAAAGAGAATGTCCCACAGAGGATTAGTCACTCAAAGCCTCAGCTGGAGTGGGTCTGAGCACCTGCAACTCACCTAACCAAACAAAACAATGCCAATAGAAATGGGATTCAACTGCATTTGTGCATACATGTAATTGTACGCACTTTCGCAGTGTGTGTTTGTAGGACTACTCAGAGCAATAAACGTATCAGGCAGATAATGATTTCAGGATCAGGTCCTTAATGATCATTCTTGAGCAACACGCAGTCTAACAAGAACTACAGCCAAGGTTTTAAAGCATAACGAGTGTATTTGGTTGCCCAACATGTGATACCTTAAAGAGACCCAATTATCAGAAAGTGCTTAGCATACATCCTGTGAAAAATAATCAAGCAGCTTTAAAGTTCTTAGGCCACTAAAGATTCTAATTTGGGGAAGATTTTGCTATTGGATATTAGCTCTCTCTCTCTCTTTCTGTATATATCAATTGTACATGCACACAGAGCACTGGTTAGGTAGATTTAATAAAATTTAAAAGTGTAATTTATAGATAGAGAAGCGTGTGTATATACATACATACACACACACGCAACTTCATCCATCACTGAGAGGTGGCCACCTCATGGGTGCAATGTGGTCAAAAAGTATAATGCTATAAGTTCTTAGGGCTTCAAGTTTTATGTTATATCCAGAAGATGAAATCTCCAGTGGCACGTGTGACACCCCAGCACCCCAATATTCACCACTATCACGTAATTAGGATATGTTTTGTACAAAGTATGCCTTGTGAGGTATCATTCTAAAAGTCTTGATCTGCAAGTCATTAATATCTTGTTGTATTGTATGTGCGATCATAGAATCATAGAATCATAGAATATAAGGGTTGGAAGGGACCCCAGAAGGTCATCTAGTCCAACCCCCTGCTCGAAGCAGGACCAATTCCCAGTTAAATCATCCCAGCCAGGGCTTTGTCAAGCCTGACCTTAAAAACCTCTAAGGAAGGAGATTCTACCACCTCCCTAGGTAACGCATTCCAGTGTTTCACCACCCTCTTAGTGAAAAAGTTTTTCCTAATATCCAATCTAAACCTCCCCCACTGCAACTTGAGACCATTACTCCTCGTTCTGTCATCTGATACCATTGAGAACAGTCTAGAGCCATCCTCTTTGGAACCCCCTTTCAGGTAGTTGAAAGCAGCTATCAAATCCCCCCTCATTCTTCTCTTCTGCAGGCTAAACAATCCCAGCTCCCTCAGCCTCTCCTCATAACTCATGTGTTCCAGTCCCCTAATCATTTTTGTTGCCCTTCGCTGGACTCTCTCCAATTTATCCACATCCTTCTTGAAGTGTGGGGCCCAAAACTGGACACAGTACTCCAGATGAGGCCTCACCAATGTCGAATAGAGGGGAACGATCACGTCCCTCGATCTGCTCGCTATGCCCCTACTTATACATCCCAAAATGCCATTGGCCTTCTTGGCAACAAGGGCACACTGCTGACTCATATCCAGCTTCTCGTCCACTGTCACCCCTAGGTCCTTTTCTGCAGAACTGCTGCCTAGCCATTCGGTCCCTAGTCTGTAGCTGTGCATTGGGTTCTTCCGTCCTAAGTGCAGGACCCTGCACTTATCC